GGCTTGCCGATCAGAAGGTCGGTGGTTCGAATCCCCACGACGGGGTGAGCTCCCATTGTCCAGTCCCTGCTCCTGCCAACCTAGCAGTTTGAAAGCACATCAAAGTGCAAGTAGATAAATAGGTACCACTCCGGTGGGAAGGTAAACGGCGTTTCCATGCGCTGCTCTGGTTTCGCCAGAAGCGGCTTAGTCATGCTGGCCACATGACCCGGAAAAACTGCAGAAGTAGACAAACGCCAGCTCCCTCGGCCAGTAAAGCGAGATGAGTGCCGCAACCCCAGAGTCGTTCGCAAATGGGCTTAACGGTCAGGGGTCCCTTTACCTTTTATGCAGTGTTACCCAATTCCTTTCTCTATATTCTGTTAAAGTCAAAGTTGCCCAGGACAGCTTAGGTCTGAGTGGAAGAAGAGTGTTTGGGAATGAGCTGCTTGATTGGAACATTGGAAGCTGCCTTATACAGAGTGAGGCTCTTGGCCCATCTAGTTCAATATTGTCCACACTGACTGGCAACAGCTATACAGGATTTCAGACAGGGATTTCTCCTAGCCCTACCTGGAGATGATGAGGAGTGAACCTGGGACCTTCTGCATGCTATGAACACACTCTACTGCTGAGCAGCGGCTTAACCTGTTCCTCTTAGTCCTTTCCCAACTCAAAACCACTCTTCCAAACGTGTTCTTTTCAAGAGTGCATGGGAAAAGAAGGAGGCTTCCCCATATTTTCCTTGCGGGGATGAAAAAGAAGATCAGGGTGGGTGGTTTTGAGCTGAGAAACCTGGAGGTAGGCTGTATGGATTGTGTATTGCTTTGTAACAATTTGTTGGGTCTCTGGACCGTAATAAACATTGTTGTTGTTGAAAGAACAGGAGAAAGATACACAGGACAATCCTATGCGTGTTTGAAAAGAAGTCCCACAAGTCCGCTTACCCCTCTAGGTGCCAGAGGCATTGCAGGATGGCAGAGGCTTCACTGGTGTGCCAACGAGGGAACTGGAACTTCAGTGCTCTTCCTGATGGGCAGTGGGGACATAAACCCCCGCTGCCTATCAGGAACCGGATCCTAGCCTGCACCCTGCTTTGGCGAATGGGGATGCAGGCTGAGACTAGGGCTGTGTCAGGGGGCAGATCTGACGGAGCAGGTAGGCTTCTCTTGGGTTCGCCCCTTGGCCATTTAAGCAGCCCACGCCTGGGGCACTACCTGCTTGTTCCTTCACTGGTTTTCCTTACCCACCCACCTTCGGTTTAAGCTGATAGTCAATGACTTTGCTTTGGCTACGGAGGTAGGAATTTGCCCACCGGGCTAATTGGCACTGACCCGGTGGTTTTGCCTACCTCATAGCAATCGTCACAACTGGTTGGGCATTGGGGTAATCCATTGTTTTAGATGGAGGGGAGGTTGTAGTCTCCGCCTGCCCCTCCAAACACTGGGATATACCGTTAAACGGATCTGAAGAAGAGAAGAGAAGAAGAGTTTGGATTTGATATCCCGCTTTATCACTACCCTAAGGAGTCTCAAAGTGGCTAACATTCTCCTTTCCCTTCCTCCCCCACAGCAAGCACTCTGTGAGCTGTGTGGGGCTGAGAGACTTCAGAGGAGTGTGACTAGCCCAGGGGTCTGCAACCTTTAAGACAAAAAGAGCCACTTGGACCCGTTTCTGAAGGGGGAAAAAACTGGGAGCCGCAAAACCATTGCATGCGCGCCGCTGCCCTCCGATCTGATAGCGGGCGGGAAGGTGACGCCGGGACGGTGCGTGACTAACGCACGCACCGCCCCCATGCAACGTCACAGCCAGTACAGCGCCCGCCACAGTGGGGAGTGTCGGGGCGCACAATGCGCCTCCTCCCCTCACTAGTATCCGCCCCGGAGCCGCGGCAAAGGTGTAAAAGAGCCACATGCGGCTCTGGAGCCGCGGGTTGCTGACCCCTGGACTAGCCCAAGGTCACCCAGCAGCTGCATGTGGAGGAGCAGGGAATCGAACTCAGTTCACCAGATTACAAGACTACCACTCTTAACCACTACACCACACTGGCTCATCTGAGGGGAGTGGCCATGTCTGTGTGCCCAGGGGGACCAGGGCTGAAGGCACTCCCCCAGATGGCAGTTCCTGCGGGGGTCACCTTATTGGATGTAAGTCTTAGGAACCCCCACCTGGATTGAACACACGTCACTTCCGGCAGACGGGCTGGAAGTATTTAGATTGCCCCATGCCCATGCCCATGCCCATGCCCATGCCAAAGCTCTTTCATCTGTATTCAATAAAGTTGTGGCCTGTTTTGACCCCAAACCAGTCTTACTGGTCTCTTATTTATATGGGTTGGGGTATGGGGAGTCCGCTGCCTGGCCCTGCAATGTTCACTGAGGGTTGCTCAGTCCCCACCCTAGGGTGCCAGCTTCTCACACCAAGAGGCCACCTGCCCAAGGCTGGCATGGGTGGCTTTTTTAATTAAAAGAAATTACAGTGGAGGAAAGAATCAGAGGACGCCTTGCAACATGTAATTGGAGCCTTCCCATCATGTAATAAAAGCTATCTTAATTAATCTGGCTGGAGGTTTCCAAACCAATATTGTGTGTGCGATCGCAAATGCCTGCTCCTGGGCCTGGCAAGATTTTGGCATTGGTGGAGGAGCGGTAGGCATTAGCTAAGTCGCTAGCGCCGATATCCGTAAACTTCCCATGGCTTGATTCTGAGGATGACTGTTTGTGCAGAAGTCGAGAGCATCAGCTGCACAGAAGTCCTCAAGCCACTTCTTTCTGGGAACCTCCTGTTCTGATCATCTCAGGGGTGCCAGGTGTCTGCCAGCTCCTTGAGCTTCAGGAATGTTGCTGTAGCAATGTTGCGTTCATTTCAGGCAGGGCTGGCCCACCCATGAGGAAAGGTGAGGCAACTGCCTCAGGTGGCAGAATCCACAGGAGCAGCAGATCTGGCCTCCAAGGAGTGCCTTGCCTGCTTAGGGAAGAAATGGTGAGGGCTGCCCTCTGGGCTCTGTACCCACCTGCCATGATTTAGAATAGGTCCATTTCCCCCTTGTGGCAGCCACTGAATCCCACTCCAACCATTGCGTAAGGGCGAAGTGGCAAGTCAGAAGCGGGCTTGAATCTGCAAAGCTTGTGCCACGATGTTTTGTTGGTTGTTGCCATTATATTTATGGGATGTGGGTGGTGCTGTGGTCTAAATCACTGAGACTCTTGGGCTTGCCACTCAGAAGGTGGCAGTTCGAATCCCTGCGATGGGGTGAGCTCCCGTTGCTCTGTCCCAGGTCCTGCCAACCTAGCAGTTCAAAAGCACGCCAGTGCAAGTAGATAAATAGGTATCACTGTGGCGGGAAGATAAACGGTGTTTCCATGTGCTCTGGTTTCCATCACAGTGTCCCATTGTGCCAGAAGCGGTTTAGTCATGCTGGCCACATGACCCGGAAAGCTGCCTGTGGACAAATGCCAGCTCCCTCAGCCTGAAAGCGAGATGAGCGCTGCAACCCCATAGTCGCCTTTGTCTGGACTTAAACATCCAGGGGTCCTTTAACATTTTAACTTTTACCTTTATTTAGCATATTGAATTACATATTTGTTTAGTCATTTAGTCGTGTCCGACTCTTCGTGACCCCATGGACCAGAGCACGCCAGGCACTCCTGTCTTCCACTGCCTCCCACAGTTTGGTCAGACTCATGTTTGTAGCTTCGAGAACACTGTCCAACCATCTCGTCCTCTGCCGTCCCCTTCTCCTTGTGCCCTCCATCTTTCCCAACATCAGTGTCTTTTCCAGGGAGTCTTCTCTTCTCACGAGGTGGCCAAAGTATTGGAGCCTCAGCTTCAGGATATGTCCTTCCAGTGAGCACTCAGGGCTGATTTCCTTCAGAATGGATGTGTTTGATCTTCTTGCAGTCCATGGGACTCTCAAGAGTCTCCTCCAGCACCATAATTCAAAAGCATCAATTCTTCGGCGATCAGCCTTCTTTATGGTCCAGCTCTCACTTCCATACATCACTACCGGGAAAACCATGGCTTTAACTATACGGACCTTTGTTGGTCTGTATAGGTACATATACAGTATGTGATTTTACTCATTTTCATAATAGACAGCAGTGGCCAATAGATGGTGCTGTTGTTGTATTTAAATGTTTCAGCAAGAGATACAATCTTTTGAGTATTCAAAAAAAGAAATTTGGCTTTAAAAACATTTGCTCTATATACCGGTATTTTGCAGGAATAACAATAAGCAGTTTCTCCCCCCCCCTTAAAAAAATGTTTAGGGATACTCTCGTTTTCCTCCTCACATTGAAATATTCCCCTCAATGAGGCCAAACTTAGATTCACAAAATGATTAGGGGTATGCATATCCCTGTGTCCCCCCAGAAAAAAGCATTGACAGTAAGTGTCAATCAGTAAGAACATAAAAAGAACCACTTTGTTTTTCTTGGTTATGATTGTATATATTGGAATCTATCTGTCTTGAGAGTGTACATTTGGGGGTAAAGTCAAACCATTGGCTGTGCTCCCCCCCCCCCCAGGAGGTAATCAAAGGTTCAGGAGCCAAAACATTCAACTCACAACTTACAAGAGAAAAAGGGAAATGTCGCTCTAGACTCCCTGAATTAGTTGACTGGAAAGAGCTTCTGAAAGAATCCCTTTCCAAATTGAGAGGCACCATATTTTTTTAGCAGAACACACACACACACACACACACACACACACACACACACGTGTCAAAACACACAGTTCAGGTCTATTTATTTATTTAGATTTATTTATAACAGTATATATTGCCTTCTTGTAAAGTATCAGGGCAGTGTCCTTTTTAATGAAGTGCATTTTTCCAAATCAGAATGTGACCTGTTTTTGAGAAAGGCATTTGTAAAGAAGAAAGAAAGAAAGAAAGAAAGAAAGAAAGAGGGAGAGGGAGAGGGAGAGAGAGAGAGAGAGAGAGAAGGAAGGAAGGAAAGAAAGAAAGAAAGAAAGAAAGAAAGAAAGAAAGAAAGAAAGAAAGAAAGAAAGAAAGTAAAACTTTCCCAGTAATAAAGACAGATCATTGTTTCCCTTGTGGAAACAATTCCTGGACTTCAGCCAAGCAAGTCATAAATACAGATCGCAGTGTAGCAATGTCAGAAACGGCAAACCCTTCTGGCACTCTCTGCAGCAAGTGTGGTTTTGAAATGCTGTTTTGCAGCTATAGCTAGAAGGATGATTCACCCTCCCAGCAGGGCTGTGACTTGCTTTTGCATGTTTCAAGAGGCCAGCTAGCTTTATAATGACCTAATTGCATACAGTGCACCTCCCAGAAGGTTTCTCTGCAAACTTCTGAGCAAAGCAGCAGAGGTGTATATAAAAGAGGAAAGTCCTTTCGGGACGATGGCGACCGGCTCCCACCAGCTGTTCCTCATGGCTGCAGACTTAACACTGGCTTCCGCCCTTTCCTTTGTCCTTTATGTGCTTGGCTGCCTTTTCCTTGCGAGCCTCTCCAGCTTGGTGATCTTCCACTTCTCCTTTGGGCTGCTGAAGAGAGCAAAGAGGAAAGCAAAGAGGAAAATCAGCCTGAAATGGAGAGCAATCCTGAGCCTGGTTTCTCAGAACACCATCGGAGGGATGCTTGTGAAGAAATTAAACCGAGCAAGTTCTGGGTTGCTGGAGGTGCACCGCTCCTCAGAGGGAGAAAGGGCATCTATGCTGAAGAAGGAAAGCTCCTCAAACACCAGGGTGACACGACTCACAGCAGGTAAGGAAAAGAACCAAGCAGTGATGCAGACCCTCACTGAGAGCCCGCTCTCTCGGGAAGGTATTTCCTAAAGTAGCTTGGGTTGTTTATAATCTCAGGGCCTACTCAATCCCATTGATTTTATAGGACTGCTTCTGGTTGAAGACAACAGCTTGATTGGGCCTAGCTCTCCAGAATCCTCTCTTATTCTTCTCTCTGCCTTGGGTCTTCTTTCTGTTCCATACATAATCTATCATTATGTCCTCGTTGGTGTGCAGAATGAGACAGAGAATGCTATTGTGCATGGAAGCTGTATCCCATGCCATATTATATTATGTGTGAAAAGATGTAACCCAAGGCAAGGTGCATTATTATTATTAATTGAATTTATATACCTCCCTATACTCGGGGGTCTCAGGGCGGTTCACAAAATAAAATCAATATATAAAACCACAAAATACATAATAAAAATAAAAACAAAAACCCAATAAAGGTAAAGGTAAAGGGACCCTGACCGTTAGGTCCAGTCGTGGCCGCCTCTGGGGTTGCGGCGCTCATCTCGCTTTATTGGCCGAGGGAGCCGGCATACAGCTTTCCAGGTCATGTGGCCAGCATGACTAAGCCACTTCTGGCGAACCAGAGCAGCGCATGGAAACGCTGTTTACCTTCCCGCCAGAGCGGTACCTATTTATCTACTTGCACTTTGATGTGCTTTCGAACTGCTAGGTTGGCAGGAGCCAGGGACCGAGCAACGGGAGCTCACCCTGTCGCGGGGGATTCGAACCGCCGACCTTCTGATCGGCAAGTCCTAGGCTCTGTGGTTTAACCCACAGCACTACCTCGTCCCCAACAACCCAATAGTCCCCCCCCCCAAAAAAAACCCCTATATTTTAAAAGGGCATAGGATGTGCCTCAGATTAACCAAAGGCTTGGTTAAAAAGGAATGTTTTTGCCTGGCGCCTAAAAGTGTACAATGAAGACACCAGGAGAACTTCCCTGGGGAGAGCATTCCACAGATGGGGAGCCACTGCAGAGGAGGTGTTGCCACCCTCTGGACCTCTTGAGGAGGCACATGAAGAAGGGCCTCAGAAGATGATCTCAGGGTCTAGGTAGGTTCATATGGAAAGAGGCAGTCTTTGAAGTATTGTGATCCCAAGCTCTGCATGAAAGTACATGGTGTCACCACTTGGCCGAAGCTAAGCCAGTCTGGGTTTGGTCAGTCCCTTGATTGTAGGGGAGGCCACTTGAGAACCCAAATCTAGTTCCATAGTGGAATCCCTTGAGTTCCGTAATGAAACCCTTTGAGCTCCCTAACAGAATCACCAGAGTTCCATGATGGGAGAAAGGTGAGATATTCATGGAGTGAAATTCAAAGATACGTTTCTACAAGTTGGTCTGAATGTCTTCTCTGTCTTACCGCAGAATCTCCTGTGCCAAAGCACCACAAACTGATGCCGTTGAGCCTTGCCTTCTCAATCTACCAGGAACCAGATCCTGCTATCTCTCTATAAGCAGAGCTGAACTAGTTTTCAGGCTAGGAGATGTAGCCCACCCTCAGCCTGCAAGTTTATATTAGACTGTACCACCAACTCTGTATGGGAAGGAGTCCAAAGAAAGAGGAGGAGACAGGCAAAGAAGACCTCAAGCCTGCTCCAGGTGGACTGTCCCCTCCTCCCTCCAGGCCATCTTCCATTAACTGCCCTGTAGAAAAAGGTGCTCCATTTTGGACTGTCCTGACCTCATCATAGGGCCATTTAGCACCACCTGCCCTGAGAGAAGTATTCCAGGAGAAACATAAACCAAAGAAGGCATCACTCAAGCCCTTGAGAGAGAGAGAGACTGATGTGTTTGAGTCTAGATGTATCAATGTTTGCCTTCCGCTAGAGTGATGTCATGATGTCTAACTATTACTTTAAAGTAATGATTGAGGCTTCGGAAATTTTAATTAAAAAAATAATGAATGTATTGCTCTTTAATTGCACTATTGTGTACCACCTGAGGACATTAAGTAGTGAAGCATGGTTTTCAAATTTAACAAATAAATAACTAAGGATGGGGGGATTGCATGCAAAGAAGACCCCAGAAGCTGCCCCAGCTGGACTGGCAGGGCTACCTGCCATTAACTGCCCTGTGGGAAGGATCCCAGGGAAAAGAGTGTCAGGGGCTGGACTGAGGAGGAATGGTTGGGACTGCCCCCCTCTTCCTGCACATTCCCCAAAAGAGGAAACAAAATTTTTTTTTCTTTCCAGTAGCACCTTAAAGACCAACTAAGTTAGTTCTTGGTATGAGCTTTCGTGTGCATGCACACTTCTTCAGATACACAGATACTTCAGATGTGTATCTGAAGAAGTGTGCATGCACACGAAAGCTCATACCAAGAACTAACATAGTTGGTCTTTAAGGTGCTACTGGAAAGGGGAAAAAAAATTTTGTTTTGACTATGGCAGACCAACATGGCTACCTATCTGTAACCCAAAAGAGGAGTTACTTGTAAGCCTCTTTGAAGGAATTTGCTCCCTGAAGGGTGGAATACGATACGATGCAATACAATACGATATGATATTGTTGGTGCTGATCCTTAAAGCCCTAAACGGCCTCGGTCCAGTATACCTGAAGGAGTGTCTCCACATCCATCGTTCTGCCCGGACACTGAGGTCCAGCACTGAGGGCCTTCTGGTGGTTCCCTCACTGCGAGAAGCCAAGTTACCGGGAACCAGGCAGAGGGGCTTTTCGGTAGTGGCACCCGCCCTGTGGAACGCCCTCCCACCAGATGTCAAAGAGAAAAATAACTACCAAGCTTTTAGAAGACATCTGAAGGCAGCTCTGTTTAGGGACGCTTTTAATGTTTAATAGGTTATTGTATTTTAGTGTTTTGTTGGAAGCCGCCCAGAGTGGTTGGGGAAACCCAGCCAGATTGGCGGGGTATAAATAATAAATTATTATTATTATTATTATTATTATTATTATTATTATTATTATTTTAGATATGATAGACAAACAAAATAACACAGAAGCAACTTGCTCCAATGCCGGTTGCCAGGTTTATTTAAAACCCACCCCAAACTGGGCTACAATTTGGTGATTTGGGTTCATTTGCAGGCTTCCTTCCAGGTGCCATGATCAGCACATGATGCCCAATGTGTGTGAGCTGGGGAAACATTAAGATAGAGGCCTTTATGTGCTTGTGAAATGCTGTGATCTAGACAGGACAATGTAGGTGGCATCTGATAACACTGGCACAAACGTTTGAGCAGTTGAGAAACCCATGGCAGCTCTGGGATTCATCAGACCAATTTAGATCATCATTGCAAACACAAAGCTGAGTTTTAGACCCTTTGAAAAACTGGTTGTATGTATCCACCTTTAATCTTCAACTGCTTTGAGTCCCTATTTGTCAGCCGGAGAAGAGAACAGAAATCTATTTAGACCATGTATTTGCTGCATGACTTCTTGTCCTCCTGTTCATGTCAACGCTCCTGAATCCTGGTCCCGTTGTCATCTCAATCTCGCCTTGGCTGCTGGTTGTGGGGAATTAAAAGGCTTGGATTTTCTGAATGAGTTCTAATATTTTTTTTAAAAAGAGATTAGAACAGAATGGTTTCCAGGAGTGTTCTCTGATGGATTACAGTAGGAACCGGGTCAAGACCTGCTGAGGATCAGGAAATGTAAGACAGGGTCACGGACCATTTGCTGACTTTGACACAAATGTTCAGTGAGTTTGAGGAAATGAGATCAGAATCACAAACGGCACACAGCGTGCTCACTTCCTAGATCAGCGCATCACACGAAAATAGTTTTTCTTACTTATGTAAGATGAGGAAAAGCATAAATACCCAAACAATTTCCAGGGGATCTGAGAAGATTAAACTAGATATTTATAATAGGATTAATTTTTGCATTTCAAAACGTGGTGTTTCACCATACAGATCCTCACCCAATTTAGCATTGTTTGGGTATAAAAAGAGCAGTGATTTTATTTTTTATTTTTTAAAATAATGTTTATTACTTTTCCAACAATTTGAACACTACAAAAAAGAGGGGGGGGGGAAAAACAACAATACAATACTAAAACACTACATAACACTTAACACATTAAACTAACAAAACAAAACAAAAAACACATCAAACAACATCGAACAACATCAAATCAACATCAAACAATTTCAATATCTTATCTTTCATTCATTTATTTCAACGACCTCCTCACACCTCCCTTTTTGTATTCCACTTCTATTAATTGTTTCCAGAGCAGTGATTTTAGTGGTGGTGATGGCAAGGGATCGTTCCAGGTTTCCAGAAAACTGAGAATTTTTATTCCAGCTGATTTTCACCTCGTATCGTGCTTCTGGACTGCAGAATCAAAACTTGCGAGAAGCTTGTTTTTAATCTTTCCAAAAGCTCTTTTTCAGAGCAGGGAAGCAACATTACTGGTTACAGGGAAGGGAGGGGAAACCTGGAAATGCAATTTTATGAATTGCAGTGATCAAGCAATTTGTATCGGCCAGTCGTAGGACCAAAGGGGGCTGTTTCATACTGTATTTACTTGAATCCAATGCTCACCTTTTTGGCCAAATTACATTGCAAAAATTAAGGTATGTGTTAGATTTATTGGCACATTTACATTTGCTGGCAAATACTTTGGGGTTTCAAGGTTCTGAAAATTGAGGTGCACATTAGATTTGATGGCGCATTGGACCTGAGTAAATGCGGTATTTGTTCATCTAGCCTAATACTGTCTGCCCCAACCCTCCTCCAGCCTGGTGCCTAGCAGATGTTTTAAATTATAACTCCCACCATCCCTGATCATTGCCCGTGCTGCATCCAAAGCATCCGAAGGGCACCAGCTTGCAGAAGGTTGGTATAACTGAAAAGCGGCAGCTCTCCACATCTCAGGCAGCAAGAGAGTCTCAGGCACCTCTGTGGTGTCTGGTGGCCATTCTGGGAGCCCGACAGTAGGTGGTGCTAGAGCTAATGGGGACAAAATTAGAATTTGTTGGCTCTGCCTGCCTCCTGCTGAATTC